GGACTGTCAGTTATGTGTGTCTGTGTGTGTGTGCCTATGTGCATGTGTGTGTGTTAAGAACTGCCAGTGGGATTAATGTTTGCTGCAATTTAAAGCTTCCTTCTTGATTGTTAGAATGATTTATCTCTTATTAAAAGTTGATCTCCAGCCAAATGAGAACTTACTTGCTGAAGAGCTAAATAATATGGAGATACTAATTTAGATGAAGCTTTATCACTCCCCCCACGCAATATCCACATCGACTCTTTAAATATAAATAAAGTGCTGACCTGTGTCATTTATTTTACTCTGAAAATGGACTGATCTTTTCCTGTGCCCATGGGGACTGAATTGTAATCATAGAAGAGAAATGTGATCTCTGATTCAACCCATCAGGAAACTGAGATAGGTTTGGACTGGAACCTAGATGGCACCAACAGAAAGTGAAGGGAGGTAAGAATTCTTTTGCTAAGACAGGTTAACATGCAGACATAAGTGCTTTGGGACCAGGTTATCTAAAAACTCATCTGCACCAATATGGACTTGATCAAGCTGAAGCCATCTTCTCTGCCCTGCCGGGAAATCTACTAGACTGAATATCTTTGCTACTGACCTAATTTCTGTGGATTTTCCTCTTCCAGGATATATGGTTATGTCCCTCTTTGCTTTTTAGAATGTCAAGAAAAAACATTCTTATTTTAACCTGCATTTTATAAATTATCTTACTGCAAATTGTTAACTGCTCCCTATGCTTGTGGATGTTTGTGTCTTGTCTTGGGAGGAAAATGTGCTCTGAAAGATAATGGAGAGTAACTAAAGAAGGCAACCAAGAGCTGTAAGGGAACTCAGAAGTGGAAAGAATGCCAAAGCCATCAGCCATACGATTGCTCCCATATCTTGTGTCTTGGACCTTGATGCTTCATTGGGACAGTAGCTTTTCCCATCATTTTCTTCAACCTTATAGTCACATAGCTCAGTTTTCTTCACCCTGGGCAACTTCAAGGTGCGTGGACTCCAACTCTCAGAATTTCCCAGCCAGCATGGGTTGGCTGGGGAATTCTGGGAGTTG